CAACTATTTAGAGTTCCACAATGCCAAATAGTATAATATATCGCTGTTTTATGTGTGTAAGACACATAAGTTTTTCATCTGTTATGATGTTAGTTGTAGAATCAAAACGCACTGGACAGATGTTTTGTATCAGTTTAAGACTCCTCAACAGTGACCAACTACAGAAATAATTTTTCCCTACCGTTGCTGCTATCTTGACGTGGTGGTTGAGCTTGCCTATTGTGATGAATCAATCGAGCTATACTAAAAAAATCGTTCTTCAATGTCCTATCATGCCAGTTAGGCAGGTCGGTTAAAGAGCGATAAGACTAAAAGTAGCAAATTCAAGGTCCGACGGTGAAGTCGTACTACTAACTGTACAGAGGTGTGACAGCAGTAAGGTGTTTCCTTCAGACAATCAGCATAACAGCGATGTTGCCTTCTCACAAGTAGGGGTAGGGTTAGAAAATTTCTACCTTAAAAATGCACACCTCGCCTTATCCAACGGATATCCGTCTCCGGCGGTAAGGTCTCAACAAGTACCGAGCTAACACAAAAACTACTCATAAAAAGGTCGTGTGTGACCGACCTCAAGCAGTTGTCCCTTGGGTACTACAATCACTCTCTGAGGTCACTATGACCACCTCTAATCCAATTTCTTTTTCAGGCACCTCCAGAACAACCCTTCCACGGTGTGGGCAACCGGGAAGTGGTAACCGCTCTTATGCATCTGACGACTGATAGAAATAATCTAGGGCCAAAACCCATAGCTTAAAAGTGTCACAATAAATGCGATAGCACTACTTAAGTAGAATCTTCTCATGTAAAGACTATAAATATACTGACATTTCTCTTATTGTGCTTCTTACTTCTATCTATCCTTATTATTTGAAATATCATTTCGTTCCTGTTTAACCGTGTTCTGATTTAGGGACTTGTCGAGTGAATTGGTATCCAAGATTACCCAGCAATATGAATAACTGGATTGTAATATAAGAGAATTATAATAGCTTACATTAATACAGCGAAAGATGTCTCATGGCAATTAACAACTAGTTAGTATTTATCAATGCCTCCATAAAATCAATAAACTGAATTATGATGGTATGAACATAAATGAATAAATCTGAGATTAAATTACTTAGGTTCGATTGGGAAACTATAACGTATAGAGTTAATTAAATGGGAATGAAGGTAGTAACTTCCCAATTTGGCTTACGGAAGATTAAAGTGGATGACAAATCGAATGAAATTAAAATTAATAACTATCCTATTTCACTTGAGTAATCTAGACTTACCATATATGCAACATAATATGAAGACACTGAGTATAAACTGATGTCTGTTCTTGAATATGTACCTTTAAGATGTTTAAAAGTTGAAATAAACTATCGAATAAACTGAACTATAATGAAAGACTAGTATCTGAGGCCCTTTACATCAATAAAATAAATACTATACTATTTTTAGAAAGGGGATTTTGTGGATATTATAGTGATTTGATGGTTGAATTCATGAGTCCATGAAAGCTAGACTACTATGGAAAACCTATAAGCACTGGACGGCCGTTTCGTCCTAGTATGGGACTGCTCAACAGTGAGCATCCACGATTACTCATGCGGGATTTGACCCCAGGACCTATCGGTCTCACGAACGAACACTTAACTTCTAGACCACTGTTCAGGAGTCCTATACTAGAACGAAACGGCCGTCCAGTGATTCCAAGTTTTCCAGAGTAGTCTAGCTTTAATTGACTCATGAATTCAACCATTAAACTACACTATTTAACTGATCTAAAAATTCACCTGTAATCTAATCTGAAATATAAGAAACAAATACACATATGAATGCTTCACTCATAACGTAACTTTTACATGTTCTTGTAACTAATCATATACACATAGATACACACAGAATGTATAACGATCTATAGTCAATGGTTATAAACATGACTTATGTTCAGACAATAATCTACAAACACAGTTATATCATGAACATTTTAGTTATAAAATCAATAACATTGATAACAATTTGTTTGTAGATGATGAATTATTTCTATTACCAAACTTAGCTCATTATAAAAGTAGGTAGTATATAATACATTATATCATTGTAGGTCAACTAACTTACATTAGTATTCACCAAGAAAAAGCATTGACCTCATAGTTAAATCCATTTGACTTTTAACCATTATTTACTTATTGCTTACGCCTGATACTCATCGTCGAGGAGCATAGGCCTCTCACCAGCATTCTCCATCTATCACAGTCCTGGACAATCATTTCCAGTTCTTTTCAGTTACTATTCAACCTTTGATGTCGAGTTCCGATTACCGACGTCGTGTGTTCGTCAGCCTTCCTCTTTTCCGTTTCCCTTCTTTATTTCAAGTTAGGGCTAGCCTCGTGATGCAATTTAATGATTTACGAAATGAATATCCTATCCAATTCTAACATCTTTTTCTGATTTCCTCTCCAGATGGAAGCTGGTTTGTTCTCTCCAACAAGAGTACACAATGACAGGTGAAAGGTCAACATTAAGCAATCAACATCGAAAGTTAAGGACAGGTTACCAAAGGAAGAACAACAGAATATTGTGTATGAGATCAACTGCCATGATTTTAATGCAGCCTATGTTGGAGAAACATCCAGAAAATTGAATGTAAGGTTGGAGGAACACAAACAATGTTTGAAAAATGTTCCCAAATCCTTGATTGATCTGAAGAAACTAGAGAATAAGCCTGTGATAGTGTTACATGCGTTAGAAACAGGAAACAAGATCAATTTTGTAGGGACCAAAATACTTCAGAAAGGTTTTAACACCCATAAGGAAAGATTGACAACAGAAGCACTGTATATATGGGCAAATAAGAACAGTCTGAACCGAAAAGATGGTATTCAAGTGGCGACTACCTGGCAAATTTCGTTTGACAAGTAATTTGAACCCCATCTTTATTCAACCTGTTTATCTCACATGTATCGCTATTTTTGACGGAATTCAACGAGTTCTTAGCAATACAATTATGTATTTCACTGGTTGAAATCATGAGTCAATTGCAGCTAGACTACCATGGAAAATCTAGAAGCACTGGACGGCCGTTTCGTCCTAGTATGGGACTGCTCGACAGTGCGCATCCACGATCCCGCTCCCTGCGAGATTCGAACCCAGGACCTATCAGACTCATGATTTCAGCCAGTGAAATTTCTAAAATATCCACACAACCCCTTCTCATAATAATAATCATCTGCTCACTAGTGATTGACTTCAAGAGGCATTTCCTGGAGTTCTAGTGAGAAGCTGTTACCAGTGGAGTTCAACCAGGTCTGTTGTGAGATATCAGCTCACTGGAGACAATGGTGTACGGTGGCGCAACTTCGTGGATTGGTTGAAGTTAGACATTAAATCACCAAGCTTTGATGATTTTGATTATTACCCTGAAGAAGTTGAGACAGGTCGGCTGGACGAAACGTTGGAATTATTTAAATTTCAATCGCTGAGATTATTTCAAATATAATTTTCACATATAATGAATCAACATTGTGGTCTACATAACAAACTGTGAGCCATATGTGAAGAAATTCAAACATTTCACTTCTATCTGAAGTTTGTGTTGATGATTTCGTTCATAATAATGATGAAAGCTCCAGGAACAAACAATCCAGTTCAGCGAACAAAACTTATCATAAGCCTTGGAAAATTTATGAGATACATTGAACCATTCTATATATTTAGGTTCTATCCTGTTTTTAGATAAGGATTATTGAATTTGACGATCTATTCACTCACTGATTACTAATGAGAATGAAATAGTCGAGGTCATTATCAAAATAAGTAACATAGGTTAGTTGTATGGAACCTGTGCATTTTAATCTCATCAGTTATACAGTGGTATGTGCAACTGATGTCGACAGATATAAGTAGTATGCATCATGAATAGATAGTGAAATACCTAGTGGCAGAAGGTTAAGAAAATCGAAGAGAATGGGAACAGAGAATAATTGATGTGGAAACGAAGGAGTGATCAAGTCTAAGATAGTCGATTGGCATTTTACAAATGAAGTATTGTCTACTAAAAACTTCATCAAGAAGGTACAAGTACTTATAAATAAATATCTACTCAAGATTCGTTGGTCGGATACCATCAGCAACAGCCTATTGTGTGAGAGAATAAATTAACTTTTAGCTGAAGGGGAAATTAGGAAAAGACGTTGGAAGTGTATAGGAAATACATTACGTAAATCACCAAACTTCATCACGAGGCAATCCCTAACTTGGAATCACGAAGGTAAACGAAAAAAAAAAAACGGAAGACCAAAGAACACACTGAGTCGAGAATTGGAAACAGACATGACTAAGATGACTAGCAACTGGAAAGGATTGTCTAAAAAAAGGTTGGAGGGATTCAGATGTAATGACCAAGATTGACAAAACATGGGCAGCATTTCTACAGTTGAAAAATTTATGGCACTCAAAACAACAGTCAATCAATATCAAAGTCAGAATCTAAAAAATACGAACATCAAGACAGTTATACTGTACAGAGGTGAAACTTGGAGAACTACCACAACAATCATTGAAAGGGTACGAGTATTTACAAACAATTGTCTACTCAAGATACTCAATGTTCGTTGATCGGATACCATCATGAACAGCATACTGTGGCAAAAAACAAACCAAATTCCAGCAGAAGAGGAAATTAAGGAGAGAAGTTGGAAGTGGTTAGGACATATATATGATAGAAATCAGCAAATCGCATCACAGAAAGAAGGAAGACCGAAGAACACACTATGTTGGAAATCGGAACCACACATGAAAAGAATGAATATCAACTGGGAAGTACTAGAAACGATTGTTTAGGACAGAGTTGGATGGAGATGACTGGTGATCGAACTATGCTATTGGTATTCTCATTCACTACATACTTAATCAATTCAATCAATGATTACTAATAATTATGAGCATTTCAAATTATCAAAACATGTCAGGCACACACACATAAACACAAAACAAAAACTGTAACATACATTTAAAAAATGTGGTTGTGATATAACAATTGGTGAATTCGGTTGACATGTTGACATATCTAATACACCATCTTTAAAACAATTTGACCAATTTAAACAAAATCCTTTATTCTTATCATAGAATTCACCAGATTTAAATGTATCCTCAGATAATATATATTTAAATACATTGAAATTATTCATTTGTTTTGTTGAGTGTCTTGTCAATTGTATTGAACGGCATATATCATGAATAAATAGATATGGTTTCTCTTGTTTCTTTATATCAGTATGATATATTGTACCATCAGTACCATTCATCATATTCGCTGTCATTGTTGTCCAATAATTTAAACTTGTTTTATTATTATATTTTATTATTTTACCTAAATTTTTAGAATCTTTTAAACCATCATCAATGATTATATCATCAATTAATGTATTATTATTATTATTATCATTTAATAATAAACCAATTTTGGTTCTGGTTATATTAAATCCATAATTAGATAATAATAATAATAATTCATCATTATAACCCCATAATAATTCATGAATTGTTTTAATTTGTATCAATTGATAATGATGATATTTTTCATATAATTCAAGCATATAATTAATTAACCATGGTAACGACTCCAATTTAGTCGCTATGGCAACAAATCCTAAATTTACATGTGTTATCTGATCTGTTTCATTACCAATGGATAACTTTGAATTAAAATAATATTGTTTATATTGTTGATATTTTATGGTATAATTATTATAATGATGTTTTATATTGTATTTATTATATTTTACATAATATGTATATGGTCCTAATTGTTTTAATTTAGGTTTTGCACCATTTTGAAATTCATAAGGATTGGTTAAATTAAAAAAATAAAATTGTATATAAATTGGTATAGATGAATTAAACCAATGATGATATAATTGACAATTTTCTTTTAAACATAATTGATTATTTATTATAAACCATATAGATGGATGAATAGCACATAATAAAATAAATGAAATAATAATAATTGTAATTAATAATCTTATTGACATAATGTTACTGATTAGATTAATAATAATAATAATAACAAATATTAGTTGACATGGCAACTTGACTCATTTTATGGTATTCTATTCCTTTCAATAAACCAATCAACATTGAGATGAGTCACAAATATGAACCAATCAAATCGAGATTATAATTTTATAAATCAACCAATCAGATACAAAGTGATAAATGATTGGTGGGTAATTCATTGATATATTTAGTTAAATAGGGGTGGATTTATACACAACGTTTCCATGTAAATTTGATGTATTGTCCAATGTAATAATGGTCATGTCTACGTTTATGTATGGGGCCAAAACCTGGAAAACTACGAAAGTCATCATCCAGAAGATATAGGTGTTTATTAACAGTTGTCTAGGCAAAATATATAGGATCCGTTGGCCGGACACTATCAACAACAACCTACTGTGGGAGAGAACAAATCAGATCCCAGTGGAGGAAGAAATCAGGAAGAAACGCTGGAAATAGACAGGATACTTATTGGGGAAAGCACCCAACTGCGTCACAAGACAAGCCCTCACATGGAATCCTCAAGGTCGAAGGAGGAGAGGAAGACCAAAGAACACATTACGTCGGGAAATGGAGATAGACATGAGAAAAATGAACAAGAATTGGATTGAACTAGAAAAGAAGGCCCAGAACAGAGTGGGTTGAAGAATGCTGGTCGGCGGCCTATGCTCCATTAGGAGTAACAGGCGTAAGTAAGTAATGTATTTTTTCATTTATGAAATTGTTGGGATGATCCAGAAAAGTTCTCGCAAAAGACACGCAATGATCAGGAAACGTTAAGAAGCATTTTATCCAATCAGCGTTCACTTGGAGTTTAGCCAGAAACATCAAGGATGTGAAATGTCACATGTAGAGGTTCTGATTGGATGATTGTTATACCGCAACTATGTTTAGTAGCATTCCAGAATCTTCGAGAAACCCAAGGATATTCAGAATATTATAAAAACCCTGTTTTCTGTATTAAAATGAACCTTGGAGTAAATTACTTTTCGCATACTTTGCGCCTTCTCTCTCGTGTTCAGGTTGCTGTATAGTTCTAGCTTGGGGGTTTCAAGAATAGCTTAGGAACCGAGCATAGCGTTCAAATCGCAAGACATATCAGAAATAACTAGATTATGCTATGAATTTTACTCTGGTTGCAATTTTTATTCACCAAGTCCAACTGCGTTACACCGTACATTGATTGCATACTGGAATGTTATCCCAAGTCATAGTAAGTTTAATTATATCTTTGATTTTCTTTTTCAAATAGACCGTCAGTGCATAATGTTACTGGAGAACAGATTGTTGTGCTGTAAACTATGTTTTTATGAGCAAGTGATTGTAGCATTATAGCTAATGATTTTTATTTATTAAACCTTAACCATCAATTGTAAATGAGATTTCTACCTGATTTATAACCCTCATTAAGTTCTAATCAGTAGGTTTCCACTTTTAAGGTTACTTCAGCGTCGCTTAAATGTCATTTATAAATTATAGTCTCTTCTCAGTAGAAAATATTAGTAATCTTGATATTTGAAAATAAACTATTCAACGAGATTATCATTTATGAATGAGCCAATCAGAAATGTTTAGGGGGTTTCAAGGTCTCAGCGCTAATTTTAATACCTGATACTCTCATGTACGATTGGTTCATAGAGGCTTTTTTTTAGAGAAAACTTGATAATTAAGTGACTACAACAAATAGGATTATTAAGAAATCCTTTTATTTGTGATTATGATAATCAAATGATTTGCGAAGCTTGTGTAAACTACCGTGGTGATGCTGTCTTTTTATGTAAATAGTTCATGTCAGTATATGACATGGTGTCGTGGTATGAAAGAAAGCTGCAAAGGGCTAGCTTCTGTTGGTCCTTCACGACTCCCTGGTTGGGGTCCGAGAGACGGTGTAACACAGTGGCTAGAGACGTTATCAGATATGGCTCAGAATAGAAGCCAATGGCGATCCTGTTGTAACCTTCTTTTACTTTCTTCATAAGATGTGGTTGCCTCTTCCTTAACTGGAAGATTTCTTCTGATTGTACCTTTCCGTTTCCCCCATTATTGTTCTCTCTCTTTTTTTTCTCCTTCTCTTCAAATTATCATTGTTTTGTGTGGCGCATATATATTTGGTGCCCCCTTGTATCAATATTTATGTGTTTAAATAAATAAATAAATGTCTTTCCATGTAATGTGTTATAGGAAGAAGTCTGTTAGAATAGGATTTTTTAACTCTGTCTAGATTGAGACTAAGGAAACTTGTGAACTGGATAATAAAAGCACCAGTAACACTGGCTGCAGCCGGGTACTAAAAATATATACGAAGGATTGGAGAGCGTACAGATTCCTGCATAGACTTGGTTATATGCATGGTGTCATTGTCCGTAAGCAATATTTTGTGGACGCAATAATCAGAGTACATACAAACAATGTCGAAGTTATGTAGTCCAGGTCGAAAGAGCTTTTGCAACTTTATCATGGCTCTACAGGCTGACTATTATGGAATTATATGGATGACTTCCTCTACCATATGCATTACATTTCCAGAACCTCTGAACCTCTTAATAACCTTGACAAATTTTTCAATCATGTAAAAGAAGTGTATCCACTTTAATTTTACTCTATACTAACTGCTTTCCGATTGGCTAATATTTCTCAGGGTCACTTAAGATTTATTCAAAGATCATCCATAAATTATAATCTCACTAACAATGCAACTAGATATATGCATTTTATGTAAGGAAAGAAAAATCATTGCAGAACTATTGATTACGGATAAACAAACTAGATGTTAAGCGTTCGACCACGAGATTGAAGATACTGAATTCAAGTCCCGTGTCCGAGATCATGAATGGGCACTGATGAGAAATCCTATACTATAAAGAAATGGTCATCGACTCATGAATTCAACTATTAAAAACTAAAAACTGTTGGCTAATATTTTAAAACAAGTGAAATTGTGGAGAGAGAGAGAGAGGGAGAGAGAAGAAATTTGGTATTTGGACATGATAAATTATCAATGGTTATTTATGTTTTATATTATTTACCGATTGTAGCTAGATAATCAGTGAAAAACAGAGAGTATTGAACAATGGTCTTATTTTAATCACTGCACATTTATGCAAGTAAAATGAATCGAATGGAAGACTTTGTAATTATGCAATGACCAAGTTATCAATACAATTGTAGTGAACAAGAACACCGATGGGAACAATTGAATGTACTTGACAACAAATTACAGAACTAGTTAATAAAATCTAACAACCATGTGCTCAATTTGCAAAATGTCCGTCAATTGTCTCAAAATGACTCAGACTTGATTGTTCTTGCATGTTCATACGAATTGCATTCTGTTTTCATTCTTTACTGTTTGATCTTCTTGTCTCTCTGCTCCTAGACATTCTGTTCACGACTAACATGATATACTACTTATGTTTACATAAGTAGCACACAACACACAATCACTTCACGATACTTTTCGTGCTCATCAGCCGATTAAAGTCACGCTCATCACATGATTTACTCAGTAATACAAGTTTCACTACAGTAACTGTCAGTATGGAGTATAAAATAGTGATGTGGTTAATCTAATAAATTCGCATGATGAATGAATGATCAATGAAATTATCCATTTCTGTTAAGTGGTCTGAGGTAGTCGTTAACAAGTCTTAGGTCATATTTTCATTCTAGTTGGCTATCATCAATAAGGTGTACCTAGAATTTTAAAGGAAATAATTTCACCATTCAAACACGATCTAATGTTACCTAAGTAGATAGTCTGTGACTTTAACATTGTGTTATTCCTATCAGAATTGCATTGGAAGTAGTAGTTCTTTCAAGACTCAAGATACATCTAATTGATTAGCGCTAATTAGCATGAAACTAAGATCAAGCATAGCTTCCCACCGACTGACTCCAACTAATAAACATTCATACATAGTTCATGCGATCTCAAGTAACTTGGAATATCAAGTGTGTTTTAAGTGGGCTTCCTATGATTACGGATTAAGAGTTGAATAACCTTAAGAAATTCATTGATGAGATCAACCTTACCAAATGGATTTTTCTGATACTGTATTTATATTTTTATACAGAGTTTTCTCTTTAGCATCACGTTATGTACACATCCTGTGCAGATTGAAGATGCTCGTTACATCCTATAGAAAACGTGTTATTTTGATGTGACCACATTTCAGTGTTGATGTATCATATTGAAACCTGAGCCTAATCTCTTCACTTGAAATATCTAATGCGTTATCAACCTAATTATTGATTCCAGATAACTAATGTCTTGTACATGAATGTACATACTTGCTTACTTACGCCTGTTACTCCCAATGGAGCATAGGCCGCCGACCAGCATTCTTCTAGTTCCATCCAATTCATGTTCATTTTTCTCATGTCTATCTCTATTTCCCGGCGTAATTTATTCTTTGGTCTTCCTCTCCTCCTTCGACCTTGAGGATTCCATATGAGGGCTTGTCTTGTGACGCAGTTGGGTGTTTTCCTCAATTTGTGTCCTATCCACTTCCAGCGCTTCTTCCTGATTTCTTCCTCCACTGGGATCTGATTTCTTCCTCCACTGGGATCTGATTTGTTCTCTCCCACAGTAGGTTGTTGTTGATAGTGTCCGGCCAACGGATCCTATGTATTTTGCCTAGACAACTGTTAATAAACATCTATATCTTCTGGATGATGACTTTCGTAGTTTTCCAGGTTTCCATCCCATACAGTAGAACTGTCTTGACATTTGAATTGAAATTTCTGACTTTGATGTTGATTGCTAATTGTTTTGAGTTCCAGATGTTCTCCGGTTGTAAATGTGCTGCTCTTGCTTTGTCAATCCGTGAATTTATGTGGCTTGGTTGAAATTAGACATTAATACCACTGGATAACGGCTCAGTGGTTTATAGGTTAGGCGTTCGTGCGTGAAATCGAAGGTCCAGGGCTTGAGTGGCGCGTGCGAGATCGTGGATGCGCACTGCTGAGTAGTCCCATACTAGGACGAAACGGCCGT